GACTTTTCGGCGTTTTTAGCTATTATTTGTGATCACTTTTTTGAGGTTGAATTATTGAATATTTTAAAATGGCCATAACTCCTTAAATATTGACTTTTCGGCGTTTTTAGCTATTATTTGTGATCACTTTTTTGAGGTTGAATTATTGAATATTTTAAAATGGCCATAACTCCTTAAATATTGACTTTTCGGCGTTTTTAGCTATTATTTGTGATCACTTTTTTGAGGTTGAATTATTGAATATTTTAAAATGGCCATAACTCCTTAAATATTGACTTTTCGGCGTTTTTAGCTATTATTTGTGATCACTTTTTTGAGGTTGAATTATTGAATATTTTAAAATGGCCATAACTGCTTAAATATTGACTTTTCGGCGTTTTTAGCTATTATTTGTGATCACTTATTAATGGTTGAATTATTGAATATTTTAAAATGGCCATAACTCCTTAAATATTGACTTTTCGGCGTTTTTAGCTATTATTTGTGATCACTTTTTTGAGGTTGAATTATTGAATATTTTAAAATGGCCATAACTCCTTAAATATTGACTTTTCGGCGTTTTTAGCTATTATTTGTGATCACTTATTAATGGTTGAATTATTGAATATTTTAAAATGGCCATAACTCCTTAAATATTGACTTTTCGGCGTTTTTAGCTATTATTTGTGATCACTTTTTTGAGGTTGAATTATTGAATATTTTAAAATGGCCATAACTCCTTAAATATTGACTTTTCGGCGTTTTTAGCTATTATTTGTGATCACTTTTTTGAGGTTGAATTATTGAATATTTTAAAATGGCCATAACTCCTTAAATATTGACTTTTCGGCGTTTTTAGCTATTATTTGTGATCACTTTTTTGAGGTTGAATTATTGAATATTTTAAAATGGCCATAACTCCTTAAATATTGACTTTTCGGCGTTTTTAGCTATTATTTGTGATCACTTTTTTGAGGTTGAATTATTGAATATTTTAAAATGGCCATAACTCCTTAAATATTGACTTTTCGGCGTTTTTAGCTATTATTTGTGATCACTTATTAATGGTTGAATTATTGAATATTTTAAAATGGCCATAACTCCTTAAATATTGACTTTTCGGCGTTTTTAGCTATTATTTGTGATCACTTTTTTGAGGTTGAATTATTGAATATTTTAAAATGGCCATAACTCCTTAAATATTGACTTTTCGGCGTTTTTAGCTATTATTTGTGATCACTTTTTTGAGGTTGAATTATTGAATATTTTAAAATGGCCATAACTGCTTAAATATTGACTTTTCGGCGTTTTTAGCTATTATTTGTGATCACTTATTAATGGTTGAATTATTGAATATTTTAAAATGGCCATAACTCCTTAAATATTGACTTTTCGGCGTTTTTAGCTATTATTTGTGATCACTTTTTTGAGGTTGAATTATTGAATATTTTAAAATGGCCATAACTCCTTAAATATTGACTTTTCGGCGTTTTTAGCTATTATTTGTGATCACTTATTAATGGTTGAATTATTGAATATTTTAAAATGGCCATAACTCCTTAAATATTGACTTTTCGGCGTTTTTAGCTATTATTTGTGATCACTTTTTTGAGGTTGAATTATTGAATATTTTAAAATGGCCATAACTCCTTAAATATTGACTTTTCGGCGTTTTTAGCTATTATTTGTGATCACTTTTTTGAGGTTGAATTATTGAATATTTTAAAATGGCCATAACTCCTTAAATATTGACTTTTCGGCGTTTTTAGCTATTATTTGTGATCACTTTTTTGAGGTTGAATTATTGAATATTTTAAAATGGCCATAACTCCTTAAATATTGACTTTTCGGCGTTTTTAGCTATTATTTGTGATCACTTTTTTGAGGTTGAATTATTGAATATTTTAAAATGGCCATAACTGCTTAAATATTGACTTTTCGGCGTTTTTAGCTATTATTTGTGATCACTTATTAATGGTTGAATTATTGAATATTTTAAAATGGCCATAACTCCTTAAATATTGACTTTTCGGCGTTTTTAGCTATTATTTGTGATCACTTTTTTGAGGTTGAATTATTGAATATTTTAAAATGGCCATAACTCCTTAAATATTGACTTTTCGGCGTTTTTAGCTATTATTTGTGATCACTTATTAATGGTTGAATTATTGAATATTTTAAAATGGCCATAACTCCTTAAATATTGACTTTTCGGCGTTTTTAGCTATTATTTGTGATCACTTTTTTGAGGTTGAATTATTGAATATTTTAAAATGGCCATAACTCCTTAAATATTGACTTTTCGGCGTTTTTAGCTATTATTTGTGATCACTTTTTTGAGGTTGAATTATTGAATATTTTAAAATGGCCATAACTCCTTAAATATTGACTTTTCGGCGTTTTTAGCTATTATTTGTGATCACTTTTTTGAGGTTGAATTATTGAATATTTTAAAATGGCCATAACTCCTTAAATATTGACTTTTCGGCGTTTTTAGCTATTATTTGTGATCACTTTTTGAGGTTGAATTATTGAATATTTTAAAATGGCCATAACTCCTTAAATATTGACTTTTCGGCGTTTTTAGCTATTATTTGTGATCACTTATTAATGGTTGAATTATTGAATATTTTAAAATGGCCATAACTCCTTAAATATTGACTTTTCGGCGTTTTTAGCTATTATTTGTGATCACTTTTTGAGGTTGAATTATTGAATATTTTAAAATGGCCATAACTCCTTAAATATTGACTTTTCGGCGTTTTTAGCTATTATTTGTGATCACTTTTTTGAGGTTGAATTATTGAATATTTTAAAATGGCCATAACTCCTTAAATATTGACTTTTCGGCGTTTTTAGCTATTATTTGTGATCACTTTTTTGAGGTTGAATTATTGAATATTTTAAAATGGCCATAACTCCTTAAATATTGACTTTTCGGCGTTTTTAGCTATTATTTGTGATCACTTTTTTGAGGTTGAATTATTGAATATTTTAAAATGGCCATAACTCCTTAAATATTGACTTTTCGGCGTTTTTAGCTATTATTTGTGATCACTTTTTTGAGGTTGAATTATTGAATATTTTAAAATGGCCATAACTCCTTAAATATTGACTTTTCGGCGTTTTTAGCTATTATTTGTGATCACTTATTAATGGTTGAATTATTGAATATTTTAAAATGGCCATAACTCCTTAAATATTGACTTTTCGGCGTTTTTAGCTGTTATTTGTGATCACTTTTTTGAGGTTGAATTATTGAATATTTTAAAATGGCCATAACTCCTTAAATATTGACCTTTCCGCGTTTTTAGCTATTATTTGTGATCACTTTTTTGAGGTTGAATTATTGAATATTTTAAAATGGCCATAACTCCTTAAATATTGACTTTTCGGCGTTTTTAGCTATTTTTTGTGATCACTTATTAATGGTTGAATTATTGAATATTTTAAAATGGCCATAACTCCTTAAATATTGACTTTTCGGCGTTTTTAGCTGTTATTTGTGATCACTTTTTTGAGGTTGAATTATTGAATATTTTAAAATGGCCATAACTCCTTAAATATTGACCTTTCCGCGTTTTTAGCTATTATTTGTGATCACTTTTTTGAGGTTGAATTATTGAATATTTTAAAATGGCCATAACTCCTTAAATATTGACTTTTCGGCGTTTTTAGCTATTATTTGTGATCACTTTTTTGAGGTTGAATTATTGAATATTTTAAAATGGCCATAACTCCTTAAATATTGACTTTTCGGCGTTTTTAGCTATTATTTGTGATCACTTATTAATGGTTGAATTATTGAATATTTTAAAATGGCCATAACTCCTTAAATATTGACTTTTCGGCGTTTTTAGCTATTATTTGTGATCACTTTTTTGAGGTTGAATTATTGAATATTTTAAAATGGCCATAACTCCTTAAATATTGACTTTTCGGCGTTTTTAGCTATTATTTGTGATCACTTTTTTGAGGTTGAATTATTGAATATTTTAAAATGGCCATAACTCCTTAAATATTGACTTTTCGGCGTTTTTAGCTATTATTTGTGATCACTTTTTTGAGGTTGAATTATTGAATATTTTAAAATGGCCATAACTCCTTAAATATTGACTTTTCGGCGTTTTTAGCTATTATTTGTGATCACTTTTTTGAGGTTGAATTATTGAATATTTTAAAATGGCCATAACTCCTTAAATATTGACTTTTCGCCGTTTTTAGCTATTATTTGTGATCACTTTTTTGAGGTTGAATTATTGAATATTTTAAAATGGCCATAACTCCTTAAATATTGACTTTTCGGCGTTTTTAGCTATTATTTGTGATCACTTATTAATGGTTGAATTATTGAATATTTTAAAATGGCCATAACTCCTTAAATATTGACTTTTCGGCGTTTTTAGCTATTATTTGTGATCACTTATTAATGGTTGAATTATTGAATATTTTAAAATGGCCATAACTCCTTAAATATTGACTTTTCGGCGTTTTTAGCTATTATTTGTGATCACTTTTTTGAGGTTGAATTATTGAATATTTTAAAATGGCCATAACTCCTTAAATATTGACTTTTCGGCGTTTTTAGCTATTATTTGTGATCACTTTTTTGAGGTTGAATTATTGGATATTTTAAAATGCCCATAACTCCTTAAATATTGACTTTTCGGCGTTTTTAGCTATTATTTGTGATCACTTTTTTGAGGTTGAATTATTGAATATTTTAAAATGGCCATAACTCCTTAAATATTGAATTTTCTTTTTTTAATTAATTAATTGAGGTTTTTTATTTGACTTCTAATAATAAAATGTTCGAACCCCCTAATTGCCACTTCATTACAGTCTGGCCTGGCCTAGTAATTATTTAATTAATTTTCCATTGTCTGGGTAAACAGGATTAAAGGACATAAGCTCACTTGGATTTCTACCACTTCGTCTTGCCATTACGTGCCTGGCAATCAAGGGATACACAATTCACAAAATCTGAATCAAATCCGCAACCAAAAAAAATGTTAAAAAATATGATGTTCCACATCCTCTTTTTTATGGCCACCCTTTGGACCCTGGCCTGTTCTCCAATGAAAATCCGAGAGACCTTGGAGAAAATTCCACAAAAGGAGAAGGATATATCCGAAAATGTCCATCAAAAACTGCTAATGGATATTTATTTGGAAAGAGAATTCCTGTCTATGCTGGTGGTTCGAGAGGAGAACCAAAAATACTTGGAGCCCATAATCCAGGACCTTTATAAATTATCCTGGCCCATTACATTGCTAACAAAATCCCAAGGAGATTTCCTCTATCGAATGCACCACAACCGAGAAGTAGTGGCTGTTCTTTTGTTGACCCAGAAAATGCAGGAGGAGGTGATGGAAATTTTGTCGGATGCCTTAAATTTTCTACGTGAGACAAGAATTGTGGTGGTGGCTGTGGATGTGTGGGACCAGCCAGAGTTTAGGGGAGAACTATTAACATCCTGCAAAGTCCACAACATGACCAATGTGTTGCTGAGTTTTGGCTACTCTGCCAAGAACCCAGGCAACTCGGAGAGTATTTTATTTTATGCCCTAAAACCATATCCGGAATATTATTGGACCTCCCTTAGCCCAGGGGATGTTGAGCAGGAAAACCTAAAATATTTTCCCCAACATTGGCTTAACTTCTACAACAAGACCCTACTAACCTACAGCGATAGGGCTTCCCTGAGATCTCTGTATTATTTAGACGAGGAGGGGCAGCTAAAAATAAATGGCTTTGTACCCCGCTTCGTAATGCTTTTCGCAGAGCATTTCAATGCCACCCTGAAAATTGCCTTCCCCCTCGACATGCAGAATCCCAAACACTATGCCACCATAATGAAGGAAATGGTGGAAACCAATCTCTTGGATATACCCATGACATTGGACACCAATCCGCACTATGACAGATGGTTCAACATGACCGATGCCTATCATCATGATCGGGGCCTACTCATTGTGCCCTGTGCCCAGGCCCTTAGCATACGCGAAGTCTATGTAATAATCTTGAATTGGACCTTTCTGGGTTCCGTCATTCTCTGCACGGTGATTTTTTCGCTACTTCAATCCCTCATCGATTACCTCTTTGATGGCCTCTTGGATCTCTCCAGATTGCTGCTGAGTGAGAGGATATTTCCTGCCGTGTTGGGGCAAGATTTTACCCCACCACCCAAGGAGCCAAGAAAAATTTTAAAATTTGTCTATCTTCTGCTCTTCATTGCCGGTCTCTTTCTCAACACCCTGTTCTCGGTGAATGTCAGTACCCTGCTGACCAGTCCACCCAAACATCGGCAAATTGAAAATCCCCAGGATATATTGGAATCATCATTACCGATTCTACTTCACGATGCCGAGGCCTATGCCATGCGTTACAGAATCGAAGACTATGTCCGGGCTGTTATCACCACGAACAACTACAGCTACCTGGAAGGTCTGCGCGACAACTTCAACACTTCCTATAGCTATTACAGCTCCTCGACCAGCTGGTACAAGGATTTGATGCGGCAACAATATTTGGCTCGGAAAATTTTCTGTACCTATGACGATTTAATACTCTTTCCTTATATGCCTTGGGGCATCCCTCTGCAGCAGAACTCCCCCTACAGGGAGGGTCTCAATTATCTACTACATTGGGTTCATGCCTTTGGCTTTGTGGAATACTGGTCGGATAGCACTTTTTGGCATCTCTTGAAATTGAAACAGGTTTCGATACGTGATCCATATTTGCAGCCAGGACCTTTGGCATTGACGGCAAATGATTTATTCTGGACATGGATGATATTGATTGGGGGATTGGTGGCCAGCGGAATAATATTTCTGATGGAAATTTGGTGTGACCGCAGATATGGAGGCCAGAGGGGGATTTAAAGCAGACATAATTTTTACTTTTGTCAATTCAACATTTGATGTAAAATTTAAATAAATACTAATTATAAAAAAATCAAAATAAAAATCAATGTAAAAAAATATTTTTAAAAAATCCACGTTTATTGATAGGCCTCACAAAAATATTTTTAAAAAATCCACGTTTATTGATAGGCCTCACAAAATATTTTTAAAAAATCCACGTTTATTGATAGGCCTCACAAAAATATTTTTAAAAAATCCACGTTTATTGATAGGCCTCACAAAAATATTTTTAAAAAATCCACGTTTATTGATAGGCCTCACAAAAATATTTTTAAAAAATCCACGTTTATTGATAGGCCTCACAAAAATATTTTTAAAAAATCCACGTTTATTGATAGGCCTCACAAAAATATTTTTAAAAAATCCACGTTTATTGATAGGCCTCACAAAAATATTTTTAAAAAATCCACGTTTATTGATAGGCCTCACAAAAATATTTTTAAAAAATCCACGTTTATTGATAGGCCTCCCAAAAATATTTTTAAAAAATCCACGTTTATTGATAGGCCTCGCAAAAATATTTTTAAAAAATCCACGTTTATAGATAGCCCCTGAAAAAATATTTTTAAAAAATCCACGCTTATTGATAGCCTTGAAAAACTATTTTTAAAAAATCCACGCTTATTGATAGCCTTGAAAAACTATTTTTAAAAAATCCACGTTTGTTAATAGCCCTTGAAAAAATATTTTTAAAAAATCCACGTTTGTTAATAGCCCTTGAAAAAATATTTTTAAAAAATCCACATTTGTTAATAGCTCTTGAAAAAATATTTTTAAAAAATCCACGTTTGTTAATAGCCCTTGAAAAAATATTTTTAAAAAAATCCACGTTTATAGATAGCCCTTGAAAAAATATTTTTAAAAAATCCACGTTTATAGATAGCCCTTGAAAAAATATTTTTAAAAAATCCACGTTTTTAGATAGCCTTTGAAAAAATATTTTTAAAAAATCCACGTTTATAGATAGCCCTTGAAAAAATATTTTTTAAAAAATCCACGTTTATAGATAGCCCTTAAAAAAATATTTTTAAAAAATCCACGTTTATTGATAGCCTTGAAAAAATATTATTAAAAAATCCACGTTTATAGATAGGCCTTGAAAAAATATTTTTAAAAAATCCACGTTTGTAAATAGCCCTTGAAAAAATATTTTTAAAAAATCCACGTTTATAGATAGCCCTTGAAAAAATATTTTTAAAAAATCCACGTTTATAGATAGCCCTTAAAAAATATATATTTTTAAAATCCACGTTTATAGATAGCCCTTGAAAAAATATTTTTAAAAAATCCACGTTTATAGATAGCCCTTAAAAAATATTTTTAAAAAATCCACGTTTATAGATAGGCCTTGAAAAAATATTTTTAAAAAATCCACGTTTATTGACAGGCCTTGAAAAAATATTTTTAAAAAATCCACATTTATTGATAGCCTTGAAAAAATATTTTTAAAAAATCCACGTTTATAGATAGCCCTTGAAAAAATATTTTTAAAAAATCCACGTTTATAGATAGCCCTTGAAAAAATATTTTTAAAAAATCCACGTTTATTGATAGCCTTGAAAAAATATTTTTAAAAAATCCACGTTTATAGATAGCCCTTGAAAAAATATTTTTAAAAAATCCACGTTTATTGATAGCCTTGGAAAAAATATTTTTTAAAAATCCACGTTTATTGATAGCCTTGAAAAAATATTTTTAAAAAATCCACATTTATAGGTGACTCTTGAAAAAACATTTTTCGTGGACTTTAAAAAAAAAATTGAAAGTTTTTAGTTTAGTTTTTAAATTGAAAGTCGCGGATTTTTAGAAAATATTTTTTAAAGTCTATAAATGTCATGGATTACTAAAAAATATATTTTTAACGTTTATAATGCCGTGGATTTTTAAAAAATAAATATTTGAAGGTCTATAAAAGTCGTGGATTTTTAAAAAATAATTTTTTAAGGTCTAAAAAAGTCGTGGATTTATAAAAAATAATTTTTGAAGGTCTATAAAAGTCGTGGATTTATAAAAAAATAATATTTGAAGGTCTATAAAAGTTGTGGATTTATAAAAAAATAATATTTGAAGGTCTAGAGTAGTTGTGGATTTTTAAAAAATATTTTTAAAAGGCCTGTAAGTGTCGTGGATTTTTAAAATATTTTTTAAAGCCCAGCTATTAACGTGGATTTTTTAAAAATATTTTTTTGAAGCCCAGCTATTAACGTGGATTTTTTAAAAATATTTTTTGAAGCCCAGCTATTAACGTGGATTTTTTAAAAATATTTTTTTGAAGCCCAGCTATTAACGTGGATTTTTAAAAATATTTTTTTGAAGCCCAGCTATTAACGTGGATTTTTTAAAAATATTTTTTGAAGCCCAGCTATTAACGTGGATTTTTTAAAAATATTTTTTTGAAGCCCAGCTATTAACGTGGATTTTTTAAAAATATTTTTTTGAAGCCCAGCTATTAACGTGGATTTTTTAAAAATATTTTTTTGAAGCCCAGCTATTAACGTGGATTTTTTAAAAATATTTTTTTGAAGCCCAGCTATTAACGTGGATTTTTTAAAAATATTTTTTTGAAGCCCAGCTATTAACGTGGATTTTTTAAAAATATTTTTTTGAAGCCCAGCTATTAACGTGGATTTTTTAAAAATATTTTTTTGAAGCCCAGCTATTAACGTGGATTTTTTAAAAATATTTTTTTGAAGCCCAGCTATTAACGTGGATTTTTTAAAAATATTTTTTTTGAAGCCCAGCTATTAACGTGGATTTTTTAAAAATATTTTTTTGAAGCCCAGCTATTAACGTGGATTTTTAAAAATATTTTTTGAAGCCCAGCTATTAACGTGGATTTTATAAAAATATTTTTTTTGAAGCCCAGCTATTAACGTGGATTTTTTAAAAATATTTTTTTGAAGCCCAGCTATTAACGTGGATTTTTTAAAAATATTTTTTTGAAGCCCAGCTATTAACGTGGATTTTTTGAAAATATTTTTTTGAAGCCCAGCTATTAACGTGGATTTTTTAAAAATATTTTTTTGAAGCCCAGCTATTAACGTGGATTTTTAAAAGTATTTTTTTTAAGCCCAGCTATTAACGTGGATTTTTTAAAAATATTTTTTTGAAGCCCAGCTATTAACGTGGATTTTTTAAAAATATTTTTTTGAAGCCCAGCTATTAACGTGGATTTTTTAAAAATATTTTTTTGAAGCCCAGCTATTAACGTGGATTTTTTAAAAATATTTTTTGAAGCCCAGCTATTAACGTGGATTTTTTAAAAATATTTTTTTGAAGCCCAGCTATTAACGTGGATTTTTTAAAAATATTTTTTGAAGCCCAGCTATTAACGTGGATTTTTTAAAAATATTTTTTGAAGCCCAGCTATTAACGTGGATTTTTTAAAAATATTTTTTGAAGCCCAGCTATTAACGTGGATTTTTTAAAAATATTTTTTTGAAGCCCAGCTATTAACGTGGATTTTTTAAAAATATTTTTTTGAAGCCCAGCTATTAACGTGGATTTTTTAAAAATATTTTTTTGAAGCCCAGCTATTAACGTGGATTTTTTAAAAATATTTTTTTGAAGCCCAGCTATTAACGTGGATTTTTTAAAAATATTTTTTTGAAGCCCAGCTATTAACGTGGATTTTTTAAAAATATTTTTTGAAGCCCAGCTATTAACGTGGATTTTTTAAAAATATTTTTTTGAAGCCCAGCTATTAACGTGGATTTTTTAAAAATATTTTTTTGAAGCCCAGCTATTAACGTGGATTTTTTAAAAATATTTTTTTGAAGCCCAGCTATTAACGTGGATTTTTTAAAAATATTTTTTTGAAGCCCAGCTATTAACGTGGATTTTTTAAAAATATTTTTTTGAAGCCCAGCTATTAACGTGGATTTTTTAAAAATATTTTTTGAAGCCCAGCTATTAACGTGGATTTTTTAAAAATATTTTTAAGCAGCCCAGCTATAAACGTGGATTTTTTAAAAATATTTTTTTGAAGCCCAGCTATTAACGTGGCTTTTTTTAAAATATTTTTAAGCAGCCCAGCTATTAACGTGGATTTTTAAAAATATTTTTTTGAAGTCCAGCTATTAACGTGGATTTTTTAAAAATATTTTTTTGAAGCCCAGCTATTAACGTGGATTTTTTAAAAATATTTTTTGAAGCCCAGCTATTAACGTGGATTTTTTAAAAATATTTTTTTGAAGCCCAGCTATTAGCGTGGATTTTTTAAAAATATTTTTTTGAGGCCCAGCTATTAACGTGGATTTTTTAAAAATATTTTTTTGAAGCCCAGCTGTTAACGTGGATTTTTTAAAAATATTTTTTGAAGCCCAGCTATTAACGTGGATTTCTTAAAAATATTTTTTTAAGTCCAGTTATTGACGTGGATTTTTTGAAAATATTTTTTTGAAGCCCAGCAATTAACGTGGATTTTTAAAAAATATTGTTTTAAAACCCAGCTATTAACGTGGATTTTTTAAAAATATTTTTTTGAAGCCCAGCTATTAACGTGGATTTTTTAAAAATATTTTTTTGAAGCCCAGCTATTAACGTGCATTTTTTAAAAATATTTTTTTGAAGCCCAGCTATTAACGTGGATTCTTTAAAAATATTTTTTTGAAGGTCCTATTTAGTCCTTTTTAATTAAATTAATGCAAATCCCTTTCAACATAAATCCGCCCGAAAACATAATAACATGTTTCGACTCCATTAATTAGCCACTCATTAATTTTCAAATAACCACTTGAACACAGCGAGCTAGTTCCGGTACTCTCTTACGTAATATATGTGATAGGATCCAATTAACCACTCAACCACTTCATGTTCAACAGTTTGATTTGGTCGTGCCTTCGTTGCGGTTTAAGGATATCATTCCATTCAATTTTTCATTAACGCAATCAAAATGAAAAACGTCCTTTGTATCCTTGTAGTGGTGAGTAGTGTGCTTATGGGGATGTTGGGAATTC